ACAGATACTAGTATCTTTTTCAAAATATCAAAAAGATAAAAGATACTTGTATCTTTTGCCTAATTAGAGTATCTTAAATATAAGATACTTTTAAATTTAAATTAGAATAGTTTATAAAATACAGTTTTTATTATTTATTTTGAAGAACATAACATACGCATATAATAAGAATGAGTATTTGCATTAATTAATAAAATATTTAATGATGAGTTAATTATAATAATCAGGCATTTTAATTAGTAATAGCCGATTCTTAGAATAGATAGGGAAGGGAGACTAGTATTTTTAATGGGAATTGAAATATTAATTTGCATAAGAGTATATAAAATAGATTCATTCTTTTATAAGATAATCAAATTTTTCAAATAATTTATCATTAGACCTTTGCCGTTTTGGCCTACTTAACATTGTGCCAAAACTAAATTACCTTTCAATTGGAGCTGATAAAGGTATTGCAGTATTATATTTATAAAAAATTTCCTTAATGAAAGGATAATAATTAAGCATTTATAATGTATTTAGACTTTCTTTAATATAATCTAAAGCCTCCCATTTAATGTTCTTTGTATTATTGAACTCAGCAACATTTGTTTCACCAAAAGAAACATAATCGTTAAATGTATCAGTGTTATAGTTTGAGCTTGATTATATACTCTGGTATTACATTTAGGGCTTCTTTTAAATATATTTTGAAAGTATTTGCTTTTATCATCTGATGCAATTCAAAAGTTCTTAAAGTATGGATGTGATATTGATGTCAAAAAAACCTTATTATATTCAAATAATAGGAAAATATTTTCTAAAATCAATTTCTCAAACAACCTTAGGCAGCTTTAATAAAGGTAGCAATATTGTAAATTTGAATATTTAGGATAATTTATGCCCCTTTTAACCACACATAAATAATATACTTTAATATGTTTAACAATTTTTGTTTAACCATTTCTTTTTTTTGTTTATACAGGTTTTACATCTAGCCTGTACATTGACTTTTTTAAATTATATTTTTAAAAAATTTCTATATAAAATTTTAAGATTTCGATTTGATTTACGGGAACTTATTTCCATAATTTAAATTTCACTTCCATGAGTGTTAATCATCCTACAAATTAAAAAAATATTCATAAAATTGGTAATGATACTCTATCGAATTACATTTATATATAAAATATAATCTTTACTTATTTCGTTTTGGTGCTGTTAATTTATATCTATATACCTAGTTTTATTAAACGGTTCGTTTTGAGCCGATTTTTAAAAACGGCTAACTCAATATTTCACACAGAAAGATCTTAGCAAGCCTGAAGATTTTGCTCATAGAAGGAACAAAGGTCTAGGCATACATTAATGAAATCTCGAGTCTTAGGCAATATTTTTCTGGCTAAAATATTGAGTTAGCCGTTTTAAAAAATCTGCTCAAAATGAGCCGGTTAACAACACTATATCTATCTTAATATGAGTTGTAAATTTTCCACCTAATTTTGACATTATATTTAAAATATGGTGAAAAACTAAGGAAATTAATAAAATTCTCGAAGAAAATAGGATATACCTGTGATATGTAAAATTTTAAACATGAATATAAAAAAGAATCTGTATCTTTTGTCAAGAAAATGAAAAAGATACAAGATTCTTTTCAGAATAAAGGATCTTAGATATAGATACTAGTATCTTATTAATAATTTCAAAAAGATACTGAGTACAAGATACAAAAGGATCTTGTATCTTAGATACAAGTATTCGCGGTACTGCCCAACTCTGACTATACACAACATAACAACTCTACTTAATCATATCTTAAACGACAACATACCTTCTTCAGTAAAACCCCTTATTCACGGTGCACGCTTAATAGATTTAAACAAAAAAGATGGCGGCATCCACCCAATCGCCGCCGGCTCTATTTTCCGTCTAATTATATCCAAATTATTTGTACTCGCATTAAAAACAAGCTCACCGAGTGATTGATTCCCCATCAGCTTGGCTTCAACATACCTTCCGGTTGTGAAGCGGCATCCCAAGCCACGCTTATCAACTTCACTCCACAAAAAACTGCATACTAAAAGTGGATTTTAAAAACGTCTTTAACTCTCTTAAACGGAAACTTTCTCCTCATATTCTGCGACTCTTTTCAAGAATATTCTCACTACCTTTTTGCCTCTTATAACAATCATCCTACTTTAAATTCAACAACACAATAATTGAATCAAGGCACAGCATTCAACAGGGTGATCCCCTTGAACCCGCCCTTTTTTGGTTATGTATCCAGTCGATCATTGAAATGATAAATCGTGAGACAAATTTGACCCTCAATGTTTGGTATTTGGATGATGGAACCCATGCTGGTCCACATGATGAACTCCTAAAAATAGCACACATAATAAATAATCTAACCAATATTACAGGGTTGTTTCTTAATAAAAGCAAATGCGAATTTTATTAATCAGATGAAATCTTTACCGCTCCTCATAACTTTACACCCATTAATCTATGCAAGTTCACCATCTTGGATCCCCAATAGGAGGCAATAAAGCAATCGAATATTCCAAAACAAATATTCTGCGTAATTTCCACTTTTTTCATAAAATCCTCAAAGTCCTTCCTTCCCATCAAGCTTTCTTCCTTCTCAAAAACATTTTCTTTATTCTCAAAATCCAACATGCCTTCCGCTCTGCCCCACTTTTCTTATTTCCGGAAATTCTCACTCAAATAGAATCAAAAATCAAAGACTCTTTAGAAGGTATCCATAATATAAAATTCAGCCCTAATTCTTGGATGCAGGCTTCCTTGCCATCGAAATTTGGGGGTCTTGTCCTATGATTACCTGCGCCACTCAGCCTTGCTGCCTTTTTAGCCTCAGAATCAAGCTCCGCTTAATTATTCTATCGCTTGACAATAACTCCACCGACCCCCACCTCCCCCACGCCCCAACAATCTGGAAAGATAATTCCCTTTCTGCTCCAATCCCCACATCACGAAAGCAACATGGCTGGGATCTTCCCTTAATACACCACTCCGTTGAATATCTAATATTGAGTGCTGCGTCTAAGGGATCCCCATCATTCTTTCACATTTATTATCATCCATTTTAGTTGATGAATCACTGTTGACATCTCTCTCTCCCACAACAACTGCAAGTTCCACAACTTTTACCTTCCTTTTCGGGCTACGAATGGTTAGAAGCTTTGCCCAGCTCAAACTTAGGACTCCTCCTAACAAGTGTAGAATTACGCATTGCAATAGGTCTCCGTCTCGGTTGTAAAATACTGGCCAATTCTGCATGCACTTTAGGTTCCCATCCTGTTATTTGTCCTCTTCATTGTCGATTCTCTAAAGGTAGACACTCTCGAGCTCTACGCAATCCCCGCAACCCTCAAACCCTGTGGCCTCTCAACTGAAAATAGTATCTGGCCAGATGGGCTGACTATAATACCTTGGAGTAATGGCCTTATTCGCTCCCTCGTTGAGTAACAACTCATTAGTGCGAGCGGAAAACTCTAAAATTAAAAAATACATTTCCCTATTGCAATCTCATGCCATTTGTATCCTATACAACCGGTTTTGTCAGCAATCATGCCCTAACCTTCTTAAAATCCTTTGGTAAAAAAAAATTGAGCCATCAATTGTGACCCACAGGAAGGCTTCTATCTTCGACAGCGTGTATCTATTGATATATGCAGATCTAATTGTATCGCCATCCACGGCTCCCTTTTTTGACATCCTCCCTCCCAACATATAATTTATTATACTAATTATATACAATTTACATTTTATAATGTTTTAAAATTACTATTTACGCATAAATATACAAAAAAGTATTATATATGTTAGCGGCAATGTGAAATATTTTCGGCAATGTGAGGTAGTGGTAGGCAGGGTAATTTTGTTAATTCGGCAATGTATACTTTGCCGAAATAACCCGGCAATGTATACTTTGCCGAAATAACCCGGCAATGTATACTTTGCCGAAATAACCCGGCAATGTGTAATTTTTGTAATATTATATTATTAATAATTTTTCGTTATATTAATAATTTTTTAAGATTAATATTATATTTTAATTTGTTTTATTTTTTACATAAATTTTATATTTTTTTTTAAATATATTTTTTTGATTGATATTTTTTTTTAAATATATTTTAATTTGTTACAATATATTTTTTGATTGATATTTTTTTTTATATTTTAATCGCTAATTTTTTTTATTTTTTGTGTTATATGATTTCTTTAATAAATTTTTTTAAATATATTTTTTGATTGATATTTTTTTTCTTGATATATCTTTTGATGGCTAATTTTTTATTTTTTGTGTTATATGTTTTTTTAATAAATTTTTTTAAATATATTTTGATATTTTTTAAAAAATATATTTTTTTTTTCTTTAAATTGATCGTTAATTTTTTTTATTTTTTGTGTTATATGTTTTTTTAATAAATTTTTTTTAAATATATATTTTTGATTGATATTTTTTTTATATATTTTTAAAATGATTATTATATATTTATATTTTACGTAATTTTATCTATTATATATCTTTTGATAGATAATTTTTTAGGTAATAGTGACAAATGTCATAATCGTTATTTTTGAACATTTTTAAGATTTTTTAAAGTAAATGGGTAAAAATATGTTTTGTAAATATGTTAAATTAATATTTCAGTGAAAAGATACTATAGAAAAGTGACAATTGTCATAATCGTTATTTTTAAACTTTTTTGAGTTTTTTTAAAGTAAATGGGTAAAAATATGTTTTGTAAACATGTTAAATTAATATTTCAGTGAAACTGTACTATGGAAAATGACAATTGTCATAATCGTTATTTTTGAACTTTTTAAAGTTTTTTTAAAGTAAATGGGTAAAAATATGCTTTGTAAACATATTAAATTAATATTTCAGTGAAAGTGTACTATGGAAAAGTGACAATTGTCATAATCGTTATTTTTAAACTTTTTTGAGTTTTTTTAAAGTAAATGGGTAAAAATATGTTAAAAGAAAATTAATGACGGATAATATCCGAAATGAACTTCAGAAAAAAGAGATGTCTAAATTATTGAACGATGAAAATAGGATTGTCGTTAATAATAATTTTATTGAAACTCCCGAAAAGGTAGTGATCAGATCTGATCATACCGAAATAAGTGATAAAATTGATAGGGATCAATTTATGGAAAGTGAAATCGATGGATTAAAAAAGATCGATCTTGCTATACCTATTTTGGTTAGAAAATATGGTATAATTTTTGAAGAAAAATTAGGACGTTTAAATGATTATCAAGTAGACGTTAAACTTAAAGAGGGTTTTTCACCCATCTTTTTGGCTTGCCGAAGAGTTCCGTGGAAAAGGTAAATTGATGAAGAATTAGATCAATGGGTTAGAGATGGCATCATTATTCCTGTGGAATATAGTGAGTGGGCCACACCATTGGTACCTGTTAGAAAATCGAATGGAAAGTTAAGGCTATGTGCTAATTTCCGTGTAACCTTAAATAGATGGGTCGTGGAGGTAAAATATCCATTGCCTAGGATTGAGGATTGGCCAGTTTAAAAGGTGCCAAGTATTTTTCCAAGGTTGATTTTTCTTCTGCTTATTTGCAGTTGCCTTTGAAAGAAGAAATCCATAAATTATTTACAATAACGACTCCGAAAAGATTATTTGCCTTTTGTAGGCTACCGTTTGGATTAAGTGTGTCAACGCCGATATTTCAGCATACTATGGCATCAGTTTTCCAGGGCCTTGAAGGAGTTTATTATTATATGGATGATGTGTTGGTGACTGGTATAACACCAGAGCAACATAATCAACGTTTGGAAGAGGTTTTCAAGCGAATTCGTGATAAGGGTCTGAGGGCCAGCAAAGAAAAGAGTGTTCTTGGGGTAACGCAAATTATCTACTTAGGACATCGGATAAATGGAATGGAGGTGAAACCTCTTGAAAAAATTTGAAAAATATAACGAATATGAATCGGCCAACCAATAAGGCAGAGTTGCAATCATTTTTGGGTATGGTAAATTATTATCATCGTTTTGTGGATCATTTTGCGAAGGTGGCATCTCCATTGTATGGTTTATTAAAAAAGGTGTTCATTTTGTGTGGAAAATTGAACAGAAAAATGCTTTTGAGATCTTAAAGGAAAAAATTGGTAAGGAACCGATTTTAGTATGTTTTAACAATGATTTAGAGATCATATTGGCGGTTGATGCATCCAACAAGGGGGTTGGAGGTGCATTGTTACATTTAATGGATGGTGTAGAAAGACCCATCATATTTTTTTCGAGAGTTTTCAGGGAAGTGGAAACTAGATATTCGGTTCTTGAACAAGAAGCCCTAGCGGTTATCTTTGGATTAACCAAATGTCGTGAATATTTGATCGGTAAAAGATTTATAATTTACACGGATCATAAGCCGTTAATTCATTTATTTAAGAAGGATAATAAAGAGTTAATGCTATCTCCCCGGTTGCAACGTTGGTTGTTATGGGAAGTTTTAATGTGGAAATCAGATATCGCAGGGGCAAGGAAAATTGTTTGCCTGATATTTTATCTAGGTTAGGATCCAGTTAAGGGGATCTTGACGTTAACAAAAGTATAATAGTGAATGGAGAAAGGGCATTAATTTGTTCTTTATCACATATGTTAAAGGGTGGTCCTACGAATTGGGAGGATCTTAAAAGCAATACCTTAAGGGATAAGGAATTGGGTCGAGTAAAATTATTTTTGACGGGACAAGAACCGTGGAAAAACAGTAGTAAAAAAATTGAAAAGGAATTGTCCGTAGTGTATGATTGTTTGATGCGGGATAATAGAGCCGTGATTCCGTTGAAATTACGGAGTAAAATTGTACGATTGTTGCATGCAGGACATCAGGGTCGAGATAAGATGAAATCTTGGGCTCGTAAGTATGTATGGTGGCCTGGAATGAGCAATGATATTGAAAAAATTACGAGGAGTTGTATTCCATGTAATTCGTGTGCCGCTATGCCCCGGAAGGAAATAGGCAGTTATTGGCCGAAGCCTGAAAAGCCGTGAGAGCGTATTCACGTTGATTATTTTTTGGTTGTTGATGCATATTCTAAGTGGATTGAGTATGAAGAGGTTCATGGATTAACCACTAGGATTGTTATCAAATTGTTACAAATGTTATGGGCTAAATTTGGGATTCCAAAGACAATAGTGTCAGATGGAGGTCCGGCCTTTGTAAGTGAAAGTTTCAGAGATTTTTGTAATGCGTTGGAAATTAAACACGTATTAGCTCCACCATATCATCCCAGTTCCAATGGACAGGCGGAGAAAATGGTAGCTATCGTGAAAAATTGGATTAAAAAGGCCAAACAAGAAAAAAATGATGTTTGGATGGCCCATTTATATTATAATAATTCCAGAAACCGGGAGGAAATTACTCCGCTGGAGTTATTTTTGGGAAGAAGGACCAGATTGCCGTTGGATTTCTTAAAATCTAAAGATGGGTCTGGTGTACCTTCGGTTGATAAGATTGAAATAAAATATCCTGTGGGGAGAATTATATGGGCCCGTTTGTTTGATAACAAAGGGAAGAAATGGGAAAAAGGTGGTATAGTAGAAAACCTTGGTTCCATAAATGAAATTTTGCTAATAAATGGAATTACGGTAATCAGATATAATGATCACGTAAGGTTAGGAGAACAGAAAGGATAAAGATAATATGGAAATGCTTAAATATTAATCTTATCTTATTTTTTTCCAGAATCTTAGATTTCTGTGATAATATAGCTCAATATGTTAAATATGAATAATGAAAATATTGATTCTTTTGGGATACTCTGATAACGATACTTGCGTAGTATTGGGGGTAAGATACTGTAATAAAGATAGAGGTAGGCTTATTGGTGATTAAGTGCTAATGGAATTCATTAAAGGATGATTAATTGAAACTTTGAAAAGCTTGGAAAATAAAGGGAGTTTTATATTTCGGGGGGAGAACTCAACATCCTATAATGGTACGGGGTTGTAATTGAGTCTCGGGGTTATTGAATGACAAAGGCAATTTTTTTTGGTGTGTTTTCCCTTGAAGGAAGAGATTCTTTGGTTATTTAATTAATCACGTAATTGATAAAACTAGTGAGGTACAAGACAAAATTATATAAATTAATAAATTAGTTAAATACTGAACAACTGTGGGTATTTTGGTTATTTATGCTTTCGGTAAAATGTTAATAAGGTCCATCGGAGGAAAGTATTTTTTTTTAAACTTATTGATGGTTTTATATACTCGAGTATCCTCATAGGAGTATAGTAAGTAATTAAATGGTATAACGAGGGAATCGTTTATGATTATGTTATACAGCGAGCAGTTGTTTTTTTTGTGTTGTTTTTAAAAAGAAAAGAAGTAAAATAAGTAATAAAATGTTGTTTTTTTGTGTGTGTCACTGGGAAAAGAAAAAGAAAAATTGAGTATGAACGGTTCACTTTGATGTGAATATGGTTTTAAGTTATGAAAGGAAAATAAATAAAATTACAAATAATAGTAAATAGATACATAATGATAGTTGGGAATTTGTGATCAATAAGTATTTATATTATTTGTTGTAAAGATCATAAGTTGTTGTGGAAGACAAAGGGGAAAGATAAAAAATAAATATTTGGTTAAAATATTTTTTTTATCAAATTGTGAAACAAAGGGAAAAGGAAAAGGCATAAATTAGTTTGGATTTTTGAATAAGATTATTTTTCTCTCCTTTAAAATTTTGTCTGATAAAAAACCATGCAATCCCAATACAAATTGATACATCTCCAGGATCATTACTTGCAAATAACGTTAATTCCAAAGGTCATGGATTTGAATAACAATGTGGATATTCGCCAAACGGAGAATCTGTCAACGTCAGGCAGTTTACTTATTAGGAAGAGGCGGTGTTTCAATTGCCAGTCCGAAACGCATCTGAAAAATCAATGTCCGGCATTATATAGAAAGAACTGGGGACCGTTGGTGGAACAGGATACTAATATTCGGAGTACCCAAAAAGAAATGACCAAAAGACTGGTGAGAGAATTTGTCGATAATGCGCTCAGCGGACCCAAGAAGGATAATCCACAGCCTATGCCGCCAAAATTAACGAACAAAGAGGCCAGCGTTAGTAGAATGGACTACATAAATATTCGAACGGTGATGGAACAACACCGAGCCGCTAGTATGATGTGCCCAGTAACGCCTGTAATAGCTGAACCTAACCCGCTGACGGTAACGGAGACAGGACTGCTGGCAACAACGGATTCGGATGAAGGTCTGTGGGAAGATCTGCTATTAATGTAGCTCGGATATCATGTAAAAGAACATGTGTAATAAAAAAAATTTTAGTATAGTAATTTCTTTTAAAAATTTTTTTATTGTGGTATAGTAATTGTTTTTGTTAAGGAAATGTCACTGGCCCATAAAGGGGTGACATGTTCTAGTGTGTATAAAACATATATTCGCATTAAACGTCAATCAGATGGATTGTATACATCTGATTAGAGAAAAAATTATTGATTATTAGATGTTAAAAAAAAAATAATAATGATAGAATACATTTTTTTGTGGTTTTAAAAAAATAGATTTTAATTATTCTGTTTTTATATGAAAAATAAAAGTTCTAAAAAGAAATTAGTTTATAAATTATCATACTTTCTGTTACGATATGTTTGTAAGTGAAAAGTTCTAAAAGGAAATTAGTTTGTAAATTACCATACTTTCTGTTACGAGACGTCAAAACTTATTTTTATATTTATTTCTTCATAAACGTATTAAATATGATATATTATATTTACTAACCACAAAATTATATCTATCAATTATATAATTTATTTTTCATCGCATATATTCATTATTGATATATGCAAAAATAAAAAAAATTTCATTTTATTTATATTCTACTATAAATAATATAATATAATTATAAAATTTAAAAAGAGTTATAAATTTGCAACTTAGACATTTTAATAAAATTATAGAAATAATAAATATATGCACTCCCCACATGTCATTAATTACCTTTTCCCTGGCATTTAGACATAGACACCATCTGAGTTTATTGGGGGGGGGGGGCTAATCTAACATGGTTATATAATTGCTGAATGTACTCATGTAGTTTTTATATGTTGCACATTTTATCAACATTTTTTACTTGCCGCATTTTTAATATCACTATCATGCTGATTTTTGGAAGCCTCGTCTAAAATTTTCTTCATCTTTGCCATAAATAAAACTCCGGTTCCAATCCAAAGTTATTTTATGGAATGGCTTTAAAAAAAGTTCAACTTCATTTAAAAATTTTGCCTCATTATCGTTTATATCGAAAGGCTCTGCTATACATTTTTTTTCCTATCTGTTTAATTTCTTCTAAATTCTATATTCATTAAATATATTATTATGCAATGTTTTTATGGTTACTGCCACTCTCGGGGGGTATATTATATTATTATTTATTTTATTTATTTATGTTATTTTATTTTTATAATATTTTTTTTTTATGTTTTTATAATACGTTATTTTTATTTAAGATATTTTTAAGAGAATTTTGCCTAGGAAATTTAATTTTTTTTGTGGTATAATATAGGAATTCTTAATTCCGCATATTTAAGATATTTTTATGAGAATTTTACCTACAAATTTAATTTTTTTTGTGGTAAAATATAGGAATTCTTAATTCCGCATATTTAAGATATTTTTAGGAGAATTTTGCCTACAAATTAATTTTTTATTTAAGATATTTTAAAATAATTTTTCCTATAAATTTTTATTTAAGCTAATTTAAAAACGTTATTCTACAAAATTTTGTAATATGAGTAAAATATAGGAATTCTTAATTTAGCAGCGTATGGGGGAGGGAGGGATGTAGGAGAATTTTACCTACAAATTTAAATTTTTATTAATTGGTAATAGATTAAATCTATTTATCTTAGATATAATAGGTTAGAACAAGTCAATTATTTCCATTCACGAAATTTTATTGATCCAAATGACAGATCCAACACCCAAAAAGTCGAAAGGCTTTGGCGGGATCTAAAAGCCAACTAGACATGTGGATAAGGGTAATATTCATGAATATCTACTAGAATATAGATATTTTAGAAAATATAGATTGTTAAATCGTTTTGATATTTTTATTCTTTTATAAATCAAGGAATTAATTTCAATAAAATTTCAATTTAATGAATAAAATTGGGAATTTAATACTATATTTCGTGTATAAATTTTAATATATTTAATTGCGTCATTTTACTATATTTTGATTTAACCCTTCACTAGAAAGGTTAAAAAAATCTCTTAAACTTCAAAGGTAGAGTCTATTTTATCCCTAATACAAAATTAAATAAAAATTTGTATAAAAAATTAAATTTGTAGGCAAAATTCTCCTGCTCCCTCCCACATATATAAACGATGCGGAATTAAGAATTCCTATATTTTTTTTACCCCTAATGCAAAATTTTGTAGTAATAACTTTTTCAAAATATCTTAAATAATTTGTAGAAAAAACTATTTTAAAATATCTTAAATAAAAAATTTAATTTGCAGGCAAAATTCTCCTAAAAATATCTTAAATATGCGGAATTAAGAATTCCTATATTTTACCACAAAAGAATTAAATTTGCAGGCAAAATTCTCCTAAAAATATCTAAAATATGCGGAATTAAGAATTCCTATATTTTACCACAAAAGAATTAAATTCGTAGGCAAAATTCTCCTAAAAATTTCTTAAATATGCGGAATTAAGAATTCCTATATTTTACAACAAAAAAAATTAAAATTGTAGGCAAAATTCTCCTAAAAATATCTTAAATATGCGGAATTAAGAATTCCTATATTTTACCACAAAAAAAATTAAATTTGTATGCAAAATTCTCCGCAAGGTCTAAAATTCGAAAGACTGCATGATACGAAAGGCTAAAATATAATATTGAAAATAAAAATAACAAAGAATATGATAAATGTGTAATTTGATTGATTTATTGCTTTTTTTACGAGAAAAATATTATAATAACATTACATTATAATATATTAAAAAAATGGAAAT